TTTCTAATGGTAAGACGTACCGTTTTGCCATGAAGGCTGGGAGCGCTGACGGTGTGTGTGATGTAGCCGGATGGAGGCATTGACCGTCTCTCAATAGTAGAAGCCTGACGACACACAGACAACAGAGTTTACACAATACACACATAGGAAAATAATTACATAACGGACAATGTGTGCTATAGAAATGACACTTTAAAGACATACAACAACATATAGAATCTGTTATCACACGATATTACAGTTCACATCGCCCAAGGCTGGAATGACTCTTTTAGAGGATGCAATATCTCACATGGCCTTGATAACAACACACTGTTTTATCTCTGGGCAGCATTGGGGTTGTGAGAGAGTGGGCGCACATTTGCATATTTGTGTGTTTTTTCACAACCGAGTTGCCAATTTTCTCAGTTTGCATAAATGAGACAAATGTGTTACACAGTATATATATATTCAATACAGTATGAAGTATATTAAATATATGTATAATTGTTTAAAAAGGCTAATTTTCAGGTTCATATTGTATGTAGTGTGTCTACTTTAAAGAGTCCTCTCCTGCTGATGTTCAGGTGTATATCAGTATGTAGTGTCTCTACTTTAAAGAGTCCTCTCCTGCTGATGTTCAGGTGTATTATCAGTCTCAGTCTCTACTTTAAAGAGTCCTCTCCTGCTGATGTTCAGGTGTATATCAGTATGTAGTGTCTCTACTTTAAAGAGTCCTCTCCTGCTGATGTTCAGGTGTATATCATTATGTAATTTCTCTACTTTAAAGAGTCCTCTCCTGCTGATGTTCAGGTGTATATCAGTATCTAGTGTCTCTACTTTAAAGAGTCCTCTCCTGCTGATGTTCAGGTGTATATCAGTATGTAGTGTCTCTACTTTAAAGAGTCCTCTCCTGCTGATGTTCAGGTGTATATCAGTAAGTAGTGTCTCTACTTTAAAGAGTCCTCTCCTGCTGATGTTCAGGTGTATATCAGTATGTAGTGTGGACATGTCTCCATGCTCTAATGTTCAACAAGCTCTTTATTGTTCTCATACTGTCTGTGCTGCAGCACCTCTTTTAACCCTCTGTCTGAAACCAGAGCCCAGTCTGCTCTGATTGGTTAGCTAGCCGGCTCTGTTGTGATTGGTCAACCATTTACAGAAATCCCGCCCCTTAGCCTATCATGAGCACTGTGTTTGAGCGCTAGCCAATAGAAGCACAAGTGTTACAAAGAGAGGTCACAATGTTATGGAAGTAAACAAAAGAGTCCAATGGAGGCGTTTCAGGCACACTACAGGAAAGGGAAAACCCCAAAGTAGATAATACGGTCTCTTTCATATAGCTTACTGACTTTTTGACTGAGTGCTGATACAGTTGAGGTAGTTTAACAGACTGAGAGCCTTAAGGGCACGTCTGCCATTGTGCCCAGAGGCACTGAAACAATTATAATGTTCAGTGGAGCAAACTTCCAACATCCTCCCCACACTGTCACGATGACTGACACTGTTCTGGATGGGAAACTATTTCATTTGACATTGTGCTCTTGACAAGTGGGGGAATGAAATAAACATTAATGGTTCATTCTCTGGAGGAGCACAAACAGGCAGGATCGATTTCTTTCAAACCATGCCTGCTGCAATGCAGTGAAAATAAGCTGCTGTCACCCATACGCCATTATCTAATATGTCTAATCAACATTATCTACACATGCTGCGATTAAAGAACCAATCCTTTATTCAACACAGCAGTTCTTGTATAATTACTTGCTTAAATACTCCGGGGACACTTGAACAATTATCAGTTTGATTGATCGCTGTGGAGAAAGAAATTTGGGTTGATTGAATATTAAGTTGCCGTGAATACGAGTGTGACGCTAGCTTTGCTGCCTGCATGAACGTTGGTTTATTCCCTAGAATTAGAACTGTCAAATTGTTCCTATCAAGTCTTAACTCTGTATTCCTACACTTCACTATGGACATTTAGTAAAACAAAAAATGAAATGTATTGCATTCAGAGAAAGCTTGCCTCTTTTGTTGATTTATTTGTTTTTTTTCCTTTCTTGTCCCTTTGGTATGAAGCATCAAACATCATGAGTGGAAAGTAAAACTGAACCTCTGTGATGTTTACTGAGAGGTTTACAGTTATCTACACAAGATATTGAAGTGACTGTTATTTTGTATATATTGATTGGTGTGCTTTTATTTATGTCTTAATGTGTACATATTTTAATACATATTTTTATATATATTTGTCTGTACACACAAACTGAAAGATTGACAATAAAATTGACTTTGACTTTGATGTCGTTTGCTTCAACATTATTTTATATTTTATCTGTATGTGATGACTACTTCCATTCTTGCAAGGATTAATAAATACATGTATCCTGATTATTGAAGCTCAAGCCGGTGACAAGTGATATTTTTCTATGTTGTTTGCTTCAACATTATTTTACCTTGAGCATCTGAGACTTGCTCCTGCGGGGGGACACAGCGAAGGGGCCGTCCAGCACCGACCGTTCCCCCACCGGTCTGACCGTCACGCGCCCAGCCGGAGTGTGTGGTCTGCGTGTGGGCGACAGGGTTCTGCTGGAGCCAGGCGGAGGTCCGGGTGGAGGGATATCTTCAGCTGTGGGTGGTACCGACACACAGCGGGGGGGCCCTTCAGACCTGGGTGCTTGAGGCACGGTGGATGGAGGTCGGGGGCCGAATGGGTAGTCGGGGGCCGGGGTGTAGAGCGGTGCCGTGGGGCTGCCGTGCCGGTACTGGTGCCGCTGCTGCCACTCGTACAGCTGCCACACGGTACCGGGCCCCGGGTTGGACCCCATGTTGGGTCCCGGGTCGGGGGCCAGGCGGAAGTGGCTGAGGCGGTCCTGGGCGTACTTGTACTCTCCGAGCCGGGCGGGCGTGGGGCTCTGGCGGGGGGTCTTTGGCAGCGTCTGGTACGTGTCTGGGGTGGTGAACTTGTGCTGGGTCGGTGGTGTGCGACGAGGGAGGGTGTTCTCTCTGGAGGGGGGGCTGAGGAGAGGAGAAGCAAACACCAGAGGTTATTTTTATGTACCAAATTAACCATCCGGACTAAAACCACCTGACTCAGGGTCAGTTTCATCCCACAGGCCATAAGAAAGTTAAACACCTGAACTTCCGTCTAACTAAATAGGGGAAAAAGGAAATGGAGGCGCCAACCAACAGCGAATCCCTGGCTGGGTGGGCGTTACCGTGAGTGACACACATAAAACCCCGGTTGTTACAATCCATAACATACATCTGTTTGCAACTTACATATATCAATATTCCAATTACTTGTATATACTGTAGGCTATTCTGCACTATTTCTATTATATTCTATTTTATTTTATTTACTTCCACTATTATGTGTTTTATTGTGTTGCACAAACATTAAATGATACGTTGAATTTTCAAGACATAAGGCGGTGCCCCACCCTTTGTGATCAGCCTTCTGCACTTTGACCCACTGCTCCACCTGCTCCAGAGTGCTCCTCCTGTGCAGCAGCCTGTGAGAGTCAGCCGGCGCCCGCTGGTACGTCCCCGCTGCGATCCCATTGGGCTCCAGGATGGGGCTGGGCGTGGACACCAGGCCGTTCCTGTTGCAAACGCTGGAGGGCAGGGTGGAGGCGGCTCGAGACGGGGCCCGGGACGGCACCCTGGAGACAGGCGCTGAGGCCGAGACGTGGTCCAGCTGTGGGAGGGCGGAGGGCGCGGGGTTGGAGGGGAGGGAGGTGTGCGTGTCCATCTCCATGGCGGTGCTTCCTATGGGGTGCTCCAGCGTGGTGGAGGCAGGAGAGTACTTGTGGAGGCTGCAGCGCTCCTCTGAGGCCCGGTGGATGGGCTCCAGCAGAACCTCGTGGACCACGGGTCTGTCAGGGTGCTGATGGAGGGTCAAGTGGTTCGTCTGCGGGACGGCCTGCTGCTGCAACATGTCAAACGTCTCCAGCTTATCAGACGTTCTGTGGAGAGAAGTGGGGATATAAAGGCCTGGGTGAATGTTAGCCCATAACAGGACGTGTGATACTTTGTTTTGTCTTTATAGGATATGTTATAGATATATTATATGTTTCTGTCCCTTTAGTAGGTCTAAAGCATTCTACTTTATAATTTATATTTTATAACGCGTATTCTCAGATACTCTAAAACGTCATGTGATCGTTGTTTTGTCTTTGTAGGATATGTGATAGATATAGATATTGTATATGTTTCTGTACCTTTAGTAGATAGATCATTTATTAATGATTATTTGCACATTGTAAAAAGTTCCACATTCCAGTCAATAGTAATCATACTGTTATACTTTGTTTGAAAACATGGGGTGAACAAGTGGTTTAAAAATGAAGCTGTCTCTAGAGAGAATTCTATTTTATTCTGTATATCTTAAAGTGCGTATTCTCAGATACTCGTCTGAATATATGTATTTTCTAATGGGAAAATACATATATTTGCTATATGTTTATTTTCTTCTATTTGTATAATTATATATGATGTTGCTGTGACAACACAATTTCCCAACTTGGGATAAATAAAGTCTATCTATGTGTTTTGTACGTGTAAGACGTTTCTCTAACACAATGTCTCAGAAATATGTTGTGAATTTTTCTTTTTTATTGGAAAACCAAACACATTTGTTTGTTAATGGTGTTTTGTATTTGCACATTAACCAAACAGTGTTAGTGAATCGTAGTGCATTAAAAAAAGTTGTGTTGTTTGTTAAGTTTTGGAAGGTAATTTGCTCCATACATAACTAAACCTCAAACCTGTCAAAGTGTTCTTTCACTGGATAAGAACCAATTCTGTTTTGTTGGATCCCTTCCCTGATACTCTATGGACGTCTTGTTCCACCGTTTCAGAGTTTGAGTCTTTTATCTCCTGTGCTGAACTCAATGACTGTCACATAAAAGGGAAACTTTAAGGACAGGGTTTAATTCACCAGACAGATCACTTTAAAGCAGGGCATTTGACAAGTGAAGCCTTGGAACCACAGCTAAAGTTTAAAATAAATAATTAAACCCCCTGTGACGGAAAGCTAGAGAAACAGCCAGGTCTCTCAAATTCAATGACCTACACAGTATTTTAGAAAATTAATTCAACAGCGGCTGGCTTGCTCCCTTGTCAGAAAAGTGAAGGTATTTAGTATAAAAGAGCCCTATAATGACTCATTTGTTCTATTCGATTGTGTTAAATCAGCCATCCTAGGCCCTGTCCTTCAGTTGAAAAATAGCGTGTTGCTTGCAGTGTATGAATCATTGATTAAAAATGTATTTGCACATTGTAAAAAGTTGCCAAACTCTTGAAAAACAAGTGTGAAATCCCAGTCAATAGTAATCATACTGTTATACTTTGTTCAATAGGAAAACATGGGGTGAAAAAGTGGTTTAAAAACTCCCAAAGTGAAACGGTCTCTAGTTAGGTTTTCCTTTCTGTCATTGATTCACAACGACTGTAGTCTTGTGGGATTTCCCCTCCTAAAAAAACAAAAACTGAGCGGTACGAGACGAGGCTGCCAGAGAATGATGGGACGTATTTGAACTGAGCAGCCTGCCCCATAAACACATAAATAATACATAGAGAGAGCGGCTGCCTGCTCAAAAAACAGCATTTCACAACATCAGAAGATACTCTTTGAAAGTGAGCAAACATGTTTGCTTACTTGCTACCCCTTTCCCTCAAGCTATCCTAAGGGAGTCCATGTACGTTAGTTTAGCTGCTATAGGCTTAGACTGTCGGGGACACCTTGCTTCTTCCTTCTGTCTGTCTGTACCTGTGTACTCTCATGTTTCCGAATAACCCAGCTTCCCCCAAATGTCTTTTTCGTGTCTATCTACACCGGGTTCCTGAGTCGAGGCTGAACCTGTTGCTGCGGTCCTGTGTCCTGGATCCTGAGTCCTGGATCCTGAGTCCTGGATCCTGAGTCCTGGATCCTGTGTCCTGGATCCTGAGTCCTGGATCCTGAGTCCTGAGTCCTGAGTCCTGGTCTTCGAGTCGTGGCTGAACCAGTCTCTGCGGTCCTGCCTGACTCTCATCATACTACTTCCCTGATGGCTCCCACAGGATTGTTGACATCCTTGTGGATTCATCTTCTTATTATAGACACATGCATTTCCTAACATTTGGTCTACCTACGCTGTAAATGTATTATCTCTTCAATTTGCACACGGCATCTATTGCACGTCTGTCCGTCCTGGGAGAGGGATCCCTCCTCTGTTGCTCTCCCTGAGGTTTCTCCCATGTTCCCCTTTAAACTGTGGGATTTCTCTGGAAGTGTTTCCTTGTACGATGTGAGGGTCTAAGGACAGAGGGTGTCGTATTGTCATACTGATATTCTGTACAAACTGTGAAGTCCACTGAGACAAATTTAACATTTGTGATATTGGGCTATATAAATTTAACATTTGTGATATTGGGCTATATAAATGATTGATTGATTGATTGATTGATTGATTGACATGTACAAATAAAAAAATAGCAAGTCTCTCTTTGAAGTATGCATTTATAGGATATACTGTAGCTATTGGATAAAGTATATTAAAGGGGACCTATTATGCACATGTTCAGGTTCATATTAGTATGTTGTGCCTCTAGTCTACTGTGACATGTTTCCATGTCTTTAATGTTCAAAATGGGAGACTCGCTCTGGGGGGAACATTCTGATTTTAGCCTTTGCAAACCATTTACATGCACAAAAACTTATATAACACACTACAGGAAAGGGAACACCCCAAAAAACTAATTAGGGCCCCTTTAAGATACAAAGTATGTGTGTGATTTGTAATTGTTTTTATTATTTTGTGTATCCATTTGTTTCAGGTAGGCCTGTTGAGTAGTTATTTTAACTATTATCCCAATTAGGGATAGGGCATAAATACATTTTATATCTCAATAAACAACCATTTATATTTATATTTTAAGTAACCTAAAGGAATACAAACACTGGCAACAAACACAAGGGGGCGCTCATGGTGCAAGGTGGAGGAACCCATGTTTGGAGAGGAGGAACACACACAAATATCTAGAGCTGGAAAACAGTTGTTATTATTGAAGAGTTAAGTGTCAAGGGGCTGAATGTACTCTTAGAGCCTGAATTTACCGACTGGTAAAGCGTAGGATGTGTGTGAGAGGTGCACAGTGTGTGTGTGTGTGTGTGTGTGTGTGTGTGTGTGTGTGTGTGTGTGTGTGTGTGTGTACCTGATGAGTGTGTTGCTGCTCTTCTGCATCAGCGTGGCCTGGTTCATGGCCCTCAGCCAGGTGTTCAAGTCCTCCTGGGTGTCAGCGCTGAAGTAATACGTCCGCATCCCCGTGTGCTCCGCCTGCGAGCCAATCACAGAGCTCTGCATGTAAATGTACGAGCGCATACCAGTGTGGCTAGCCTATAGGGAGAGAGGAGAGGCAGGGTGAGTGTCAGGATCACAGAAATCAGCTGTGGATAAAGAGACAGGTGAGATGTCATGCTGTCCAACCAGAGAAACAACATCAAGGGCCACATGAGCATCGACCGATACATAGAGGCAATGACGGAAACCACACGATAGAAATACAGAGACAAAAAGTGCCAGCCATGTACGACCAACAAAGCCACGACGTTTGCTCAATGAGAGGAAAGATACTCTGGTACGATGGAGAAAGTGAGGGTCAGAAAAAATAAGTCTGTTCACAAACCTGTGTTTCCCGCTGCTATAATAGTTTAGACTCAACACAAGTAAAAAAGGTCAAATGAAAGTAAACCTTGTCATGAATATATGTCATAAAGAAAGGTATACGTTACAGAAGTATGGTATGAAAAGTAGCTCTGAATAGACGCAGTGTGAAATGTGACCAGACACCATGACAGGGTAATTTTACTGTGATTTAAGTGCTGAGCTCAAGACAGGCATATTCATAAACGTAAGATTGATGTGTCTTTGTATGCACATTAAAAAAGGGCTATTAGTGCTACATCTAATACACTGTTGTTGGTGTGGACGTAATGAAAGATTGATATGTGTGATGTTGCAGAATCATTTAAAAGCAGAGCAAACACTGGTGAGGCACACACTAAATAATAGTATAGGTTAAATAATATAGACTGTAGTCTGTGAGCCTGTAGGGTGTCAATTACTGAAACTTACTGACTGATTTTAACTGTATATCATCCATTTTTTTAATGAAATGGATTCTATTTGAAACTTTCACTAAACCCCAGTGTGATCCAGGTTGGCATCTGTGTTCAGTGTATCCCAACATTCATTTAGTTTCTTAATTTGAGGTGGGGGGAGTGTGTTGGAGAGAAACTTTGGGATTTAGCCTTTGCAGACCATTTACATACACACAAACCAATATAACACACTACAGGAAAGAGAAAGCACGGGCCTCTTAAGCACACTTTCCTACATCTACCAGTGCCTTTCTCTGCATCCCAGACAACAAATAAGAAGCATTAAAGCGATTATTCTGTTTTGTGTAGGTGGAGAGTGCAGTAATACTAGTTTTACAGCTGGAGGAAAAATGAGAGAATCAACATGCTTCTAGCTGCCTTTTAATCTACTGAGCCTGCATCAGTAGGGCCGCCGGTATCTGAGGTTCTCCTACTATGGATTCCTGCCCTTAAGTTCCTGGAGTCCTTGAGAAGCTCACACATACCTCATTCACACCAACGCAACTCCGGTTCAAGCTCCGTGCTAGAGCTTTTCAGGTTCAGAACCGGTTCTTCGGTTTAGCTCCGGATCTTTTCACACCGCCCAGAGTACGACTGGTATTGCGTCATCGTTTGCGTCATGACGTAACCATTTGCGTGCCTGCTTCATAAAGCCAAACCGTGCGGATGAAATCAGTTGCATTCATTTCTTATGGCTCTATCTGCAGCTTTTCCGGAATAATTTCTGTGGTTTAGACTATATTCTAATAAAAAAGCGTACTCGTGTCAATAAAGGTTTTTTTAAAACACAACTGCTTCCGAGGTCGGTCTTATTTCTTAAGGTGGACTGAACCATGAGTATGGAGTAACGTTG